TGTAAACTCTGGATTGGAGAAGTTATAAAGACATTCAGGTTCTAATATTTTCACTCTCATTTTTTTCTTTTCATCACAATAAGACCAAAACTTTCTCTAAAACATAAGCTGTCACCCCGTCTTCATATAATCCTTCCTGTTTCGTGATATTGCTCATTTAGCTAAAACTGTAAGATCACATTTTAACTTTATAAAGTTTTAACAAAACTCACTTTCCAATCTTCCAACTCAACTTGTCTCTTGATTGAAAATGCGCACGCTGACCAGTATATTCCTGGCTGACGTGTTAGCTGTACTCACACTCCGGCTTCTCTCACTAGCAGTTCGTGTTTGTGCTGCCTGGGTGCTTCATTTATATTCAGCTGCTCCTTCCAGCTCTTCTGCTTGGGAATTAGAAAAGTTATTTATATAACACCCAAGGATATAAAAACTACAACCAGATTGTATCTCAGATTTAAAAACAGTTGCATTGGGGAGTTTTGAGTACAAGTTTGTTTGTGATTTTACTTTAATCTTTGGTTAAATTTTTGGTTCTAATCACAACTGGATCATCGTCCTTTCAAGAGAAGTTCATAATCTGTGCCTTTCAATTACATATTCCCTGCTTTTCTGCTACTCTCAAATCTTTGCATTTTGACCATACTTTGATTGGAGATGTGTGCCACCATGCCTGGCTCTATTTCCATTGTGGCCTTGAACTCACAGAGATCCGGTTGGATCTCTGCCTCCTGAATGCTAGGGTTAAAGGTGTGTGTGCCACCATTTTCTGGCCTCTGTGTCTATCTAGTGGCTGTTCTGTTCTCTGACCCCAGATAAGTTTATTAGGGTGCACAATATATTGGGGGACACAATATCACAAGTTCCTACCTGGTACCATGAACTGTGCAGGTGGATGATATAGTATGCTGCCCAGGTGTCTCTTCAAGATTGAGGCTCTCGTTGCTCTATCTGCTGGGAATGTTGATTAGTGAGGCCTCATAGCTAGATCCCTCTGTGCTAATTATCAACTGAAGGAAAACACACGTCAAAGGTACCCTTCTTTCTTGGGGATCTTCTGTCCACTGACTGATAGTTGCAGCTATAAAGTCCCTCATCATTAACTTCATGGAAGGACAATTTTGCATGTCAATCCCAGCTGTCACGTCCTCCATGAACCCATCTAGGTCTTGGTTGTAGCTACATCGTTGATCTCACCTAGTTACTCCTTTAGTCTGCTATAAATGCCAATCACAAGGATACTGCTCAATAACTTCCTATGTGCACAGTTGTTTCAGAGCCTGTTTCATAGGCAACACATCCTCAGACTAGAGTTTTATGGGGAGAGAGAAGAGAGATCCCTATTTGGCCATGTAGATGTCATAGGGAATGCCTCCCATAAGCGATACTATGGTATCAGAGAATGTGAGTTATTTTACTGTAACAGAAGGAGGCTCAGGAAAGATTTCTTTTTCAGAACAAGTGGCCTTTGAGATTCATTTTCGAAAATAAGTAGATGTTTTCTAGGCAAAGAAAAGTATAAAGTGGCCTGGGCATGAACACTGTTTTTAAAGATGTGACGACAAACCCAGTATGGCAGCTAAAAGATGAAGCCCACATGTGAGGTTAATGGGGATGAGAAGCCAAGTCACAAAACATACCACTGATGGTAAGGGTCCCCAAGCTGTAGTGTCCTCTTCTACTGTCTACCCAACCTGTCAGACATGGAGCCTTGGTCCACATATAAGATGGGACCTGAACAGACTTAGAGGCATTTCTCTTCCACTGATTCTGTTGAAGTCTGTTTTCTTCAAAACTGTTATTTTACATTCGACTCTATCCTACTTTAGAAAAGCTTAATATGTACATGAAGAGCCCAGCTTTTTGTTTAAAAATAACCATGTATAAAAAGATATAAAGCGTTCCATTGTTGTGCTTAAAATTTTATGATTAGAAATTTCTAAACGTTTTAAGTGGGGGGGACAGAGTAAACACGTGAGACCCACTTTTAAACCTCTATCAAAGGCTTTTCCATTTGTTTCTAATACATATCTGGTAGCAGGAAATTGGCCTTTTCTTGTGTTGTTAGTGCTAGTGAATAATTGTAAAACTGAATAATTGGGATTAATCATTTTACTGCTGAGAAACCTGAAATCTAGAGCAAAGAAATTATGTACCTAAGATCATGCAGTATGTATTATCAAAGCCAGAACAATGTAACATGCTGTTTATGTAGTGTGTTCTCCTTGTTATGGCTACATATGAGTTTGCTCGACCCTTCTAAATGGCCAGGAGTCAGGAAGGTAGACGTGCCAACCTCGGGTGCCATCATGAGCTCAGTGACCCAGTTAACCAGTCAGCTCTAAGTCTGTTACCTCACCTGAGAAATGACAGCCTGGACTAGAGGAAGTGCTAGCCCCCTCCACCCTGACAATGTGAACGAGGGACAGAGGTGTACAGTAAAGGGAATTGTTTAATAAAGGTTAAGGTGCCCTTCATGGCCTGTGTCCAAGCCAGCTACTTTCTTGGAATTTTTTTTTTTTTTCTGACTTGGGGACATTTTTCATGAGGCTAATTGTAGGCGTATGTAAAGCTTATTTTCAGTGCACAACTGTCCAGATTACCCGTCCTGTGAATAGAGCACTCAGACCATAATGCTTTCCCTTAGAAACTGACCAAGCCTTGTATGTTGCTCAGAGCCAAGCCTCAGTGCAAACAAATACGTTCTCGGGTCTAGCATGTTCTGGTTTATTTAACTCCATTGCAGACTGGGTTTAAGAAGAAAAAAAGTTAAAACCCCCAGAGAGCAAAACAGAAGCCCTAGGAATACGATTTACAGTCACATTAACTCAGATCACCAGAGTAGAGAAGAAGCAAGGTTATCATTCTCCAGACCTTCATCAGCCCCGGAATTTCACCCTGTGAGCCTCTGCTATTTTAATTTCACCACTTCAGGGTGGGGGGGAAAGTAGGTTAATAGTTTCCGTGAGTTTAGACTATGACCAAAGGCAGCTACAGAACCTCAGGCATCTGCAGCTCATAGGAGAAGATGATGATGAATTTACCAGTTCATCTTGGGATGGATTCCAGAGTTGGGGACACTGGACCAGTGCTGTGCTGCCATGGTGGAGTTAAATAATATTTCTTCATTCATTCTTTCTGTAGGCATTCATTCCCAGCTTGTTTTTATCCCAAGCAGTATACTGGGACAGAGAAATATATTCTTAAGAGACAATCCCTTCCTTTAATGAAATTATTGTAAAGTAAGGAGGTATATACAGTTAAGTGTTATAAGAAGAATAAGTGAAGTGGGGGAGAAAGAAGTAATGCGTTCAGGTGGGTCATTAAAGAGCCTTCTGAGATGTGTATTGGAAGGTCAGATGGCAAATTGCCACAGTTCATTCATGTAGTCATGAGTCAAGACACTAAGTTGGGTATTTCCCGGGGCGGGGGGTGGTGGTGAATGAGAGTGAGCAGCCTGCTTGGGTGTGATGAGGAGCTCAGCCTAGAGAGGGAGGTCAAATGTCATTGAGGGAATTCACTCTGTATTATGGTGCCATGAAGGTTTGTTGTCAGGAAAAATACTTGGTCACATCCATGTTTCAGGAAATAAATTGGGCATCCTTAGAGAGACAAAGGGGGACAAAGGGGGTTGTTTCTGGAGAGAGATAAACAAAGAGCCAATGCCAAGGAGTTGCCTTGGGTCGTTTTCAGGACACTTATTACCTCAGTACAAGCATATCTCGCCTCAAGGCATTTGAAGACCTCACAGTAAGAAGGCAGTTTCTCCTCAATTTCCATGCTCCATCCGCTTCTGTGTCTTCCTGTTAATATGTACACTCTGCATTGATTCCAGATTCTAGTGAGTCACTCCAGATACTTCATTTAGAGAATAACATGTATCACACAGGAAGAAAAAGATTATTGTTTGGGAACACAGTCTGGGCATGGAGTGGGGTTAACAGCAGGGCCTTTTGAATGCTGACTTGTTGAATATTAGCTCCTAAGGTTCACATGTATTCCTAAGGCTCAGTGTATTTTCAAATCCAGGTAAACCGAATTTCTTAGCTTACTTTTTACAACTGGACCACCACTTTATGTTCAACATTTCTATCAGGAGTTCATTTAGCCTGAATTTTGAGGTTTTAAATGGGAGCTTTGATTTGGGCTCTATGGAGGGGTGTACACTTGTTGCAGTCATAACATAGATAAAATGTTAGGGGCCTCAGCAACCCTACTAGGTCTTTAATGTTGAGTCAAGTTTTACTTGTAATAGTATAGCAGTTTTCTAAGTACAAAACCTGGGAGATGTAACTCAGGGAACACATCCAGCCTACCACCTATTTTTATAAATAAAACTCTACTGAACTACAGACCCTTTGCTTGTGTGCGCTCAGAGGCAGTCTTTGCTCTATGTGGGTGAACTGAGTGGTTACCATAGGTCCTTACTATCTGAGCCTTTATTGAAAAATGTGTCCTCAGTCTTGGTGAAGTAGAAAGGAGGAATGCCATAGAAGGCAGACAGTGGGTATTGTAAAACATGGGTTTAGGGCTGGAGAGATGGCTCAGCAGATAAGAGCACTGACTGCTCTTCCAGAGGACCCGGGTTCAATTCCCAGCACCTACATAACAGCTCACAACTGTCTGTAACTCCAGTTTCAGGGGACTTGACAGCCATGGCCAAAACACCAATGCAAATTCAAAAAAAGACATTTCTTAGAAGCCAGGGATGGGTGGTGCATGCCTTTAATCCTGGTACTTGGGAGGCAGAGGCAGGTGGATGTCTGTTTGAGGCCAGCCTGGTCTACAGAGTAAGTGCCAGGATAGCTAGGACTGTTTCACAAAGAAACCCCATCTTGAAAAGTCAGAAAAAAACGAAACAAAGCGTGGGTTTGCTGCCTGCTGCCTCCGACCTGTCTGTGTGCGTCGTTCTCACTCCGATGGTGCCAGCTGCCTTCCCTGGAGTGTTGTGATTCACCCTGGAGCCACGGTGCTCTGTTGACCAGTTGTCTTCCTCTCCTCAGAATACTCTGGAGCAGTGCAACGTGTGCCACAAGCCCATCATGGAGCGGATCCTCCGCGCCACGGGGAAGGCCTACCACCCCCACTGCTTCACCTGCGTGATGTGCCACCGCAGCCTGGATGGCATCCCGTTTACCGTGGACGCCTGCGGCCTCATCCATTGCATCGAGGACTTCCACAAGTAAGCAGCCGTTCTCTTGAACTCCGCTCTCCTTGCCTGCCACACCCTTCCTGCTGAGCGACACACACACCAGGATCTAGGGATCTATTCTGAGAGTTGTCTCCAGTGCGGGAATTGACATTAGGGGGCCCCTGTCGTTATCCAGCTTAGCCTCTCTTCAGAGCTTGCCTGCAATTGACCGTGATATCCTTGTGCAGCTATAGATAGGGAAGCGCTGACTCAGTTCAACAAGAGCCATGGCATTTAGCAAGTTGTACTTCTCCCAGTTCTTCAGTTTGGTTATCTGACCAACACTTGACCTAGTGGTCTCCTAACTAAGACAGCCTCTGCACCCCTGTTACTGTAGGGGTAGGAGGTGCTCGTAGACAGATGTAGAGAGCAGTTCTGTCACCCAGTTCCGGTGGGAGAGACAGCTTCATGCCCTAGCCAACACCTCCATGTCTTCTCTTAGCCTCCTCCCCCACCAAAGTCTCGGGCGCCTCGCTATGCTTCCTCATGACATTGATTAGTGCAATATGGTGCAGCATTTTGAGAAGGGTCAGAAAGAAAATTTCTCAGGCTCACGTCTGCTAACCCACAGGTAAGGCCTCGAAACATGACTTCCCTTCTTCACGTCTCCGCTTTTACCGTCCCTCTTTCCTCCAATATAGGAGGGGTTGAGAAAACGACAGTTCTGTGTTTTCTCTTAGTTGTGCTCATTCGTTGGCTAACTGCTTCATCGCCTCAGCGCACATGTTTATCAGGGTCGGTGTGGGAAGCTGCAGGTATGACTTGCTAATGCGAGGCCGGCGGCTTCCTTGCTTCCGTTCGCTGGGCAGTCACTTCGAGAGTGGTTTGTAAGGCTCCCGAAAGATGAAGTGCGTTGCTAACCACTTTCGGGCTACGCTCTGAGGCTCAAGACGGGCTGTGGGTTTCTTTCACCACTGCTGATGGTCAACATCCAGGAGGTACTTTCCACAAGCAGCTTGGGGACCTGAGACTCATATTTTTAAAATGAATGTCCTGACCACTCTCCCAAGGAGCAGCGAAAGCAAAAAACCTCACCCAAAGTCGTGAGGCTGAATGAATTAGAAAAACAACCCAGAAGCAGAAATTTCAACCTGAATTAGACAAGAAAAGGCTTGCTTTTAAAGGGCAGTCAAAGCATAAATTGTACTTCACATTATTGCTATTTTTAGCTTGTAATTACACATGAAAAAAAAAAAAAACCCTGCATCTATTTAAGGGAAGTGAAAAGATGCCAACGGGGAGTGTTTTTCTGTCACTGTTTCTCTCCTCTTTGAGACTTTCACGATCCAAGAAAGACAGGTAGATGTAAGCAGGGCACACACATTTGTGTTGCTGGGAAAGCCTGAGCTATTACACCCCTCAATTAAATGAGGAAATCAGTTCTGACAAATGTGGGTCTGTGTCCCTGCCACTTATCTTCCGTTTCTAGTGGTGGGGAGCATAATTAGAGACTGGCGACAGTGACATAAGGGTGTGGGTCTGAACACTCTAAAAAGACAGCCTTGAGCAACTGAGCAGGGGGTAGGGAGATGCACATCTCAGGGCCCAGCCTCCCTCTCTTTCAATGCACGTGAGAAAGAAATTATTTTTTAAGAACTAATGTTGGCAGATGTGGGGCGGGGGCGGGGGTGGCTTTCGGATACTGCCCTTCTATGGGAGGAAAATAAAAGAACATTTTCCAGAGCTCTTATTACTTAGCTTTAGAAGTACTAGAATGCAGAGTGGCTAGCCTTCCATCACAGGGTGCTAGCCCTCCAGCCTGGGGTGCTAGCCTTCAAACACTGGGTATGTACTGCACAGCCTGAGAGACCAGTAAAGGAGCAGACCTGCTTCTCTGCTTTAGGAAAGCGGCTTTTTGGCTTTTCTGAATGGGTCTCCATCGTGGGGCTGTTAGGAGACACGGCTTAGTTTGATTCTCACACTCACAAGCTTCTCTCCACGTGCCAATCGCTGTGGTGAGTGCTGAAGGAGACACTGGACACAAGAAGCCGGACAGAGGTAGTTGTCAGTGCTGGACTTGTGAGAAGGAGGCAGAATATACCAGCATAACAGGGATGCAGGGCAGAAGGGGCATCACCAGGAGGTCGGCCCAAGGAAAGCTGCTGCCCTGTCTTCTTCAGAACTGATCATTCGACTCCGTGATCCAGGCAGGCCTCTCTCAAGCAGAACTGGAACTGTGCCAAGTGAGAAACAGATTGTTGATAGAGGATTGGCTATTGGCAAAACCTCTAAAATGGCATCTCAGAACTTGTCACATAAAGGGCAGAATCTTGACGCTTAGCAAATGGGCCATTTCCATATAAATACCTTTGGTTAAAGTTGACTTATGTCCCACAGCCCACTGGGAATTGAACTCTTTCACAGACATGGTCGCCAATAACTATTGAGAACTCCCTTGTTGGGGGACTATTTTAGGTCCTGTACACGAGTATGTGGGAGGTGGCAGTGGGCACACATACACACACACACACACACACACACACACACACACACACACACACACACACACACACTCTCTCCCTCCTCATTTTACCTACCTGGCTGTCTTTAAAGGCTAAACTTACTATTTTAGTAAGACTTCTTTGATTTTACCACGCCTTATTCCCAGTTATGAATTCATGCCACCTCTATATTTGAGTAATTTTCTTAAGTCTATTATAGTGTCTCCTGGTTTGTGATGAACTATACATGTGAATAAATTTTTACAGCAACCAATGTAGATAATTTTTACAAGAAGATAGACTATAAAAGGTTTAGAACAAATACAGAGGCATGGAGAATTCCTTCTCAGGTCTGTGCTGGAATCTTTTGAATCCATGTTTCCTGTGCCAGGGAAAGTGGGCTTACACTGTTCTTTTTAGTGTGTGAAGCATACACAGTGATCTCTGCTTTCCTGGCAGGGATGTCATCTGTGGTATTAGTCAGGCTTCCTGTCCCTATGACAAATACCTGAGTAGGAAAGGTCTATTTGGACACATGGTTTTCAGAATTTTTAGTCCATAGTAAGCTGGTCCTCGGTTTCTGGACCTGTGGCGAGGCAGCCTAGCTGGAGGAAAGGCATGATTGAACAGCTCTTCACCTCATGGCTTCCAGGGACAAGATGTGCCCTTGAAAGGTATGTTGTCTTGACCTGCATCCTCTAACTAGCTCACCTCCTACATCACCTCCTGATAGTACCATTGCGCTAGGACTCTAAGGATGGATGAATCCGTTGAAGTCAAAGCTGGCACGATCCAGTCACCTCCCAGCGGTTCATCTGTTGACAGCTCAGTGCCGAGTATATGAGCCCGAAGGGACGATTTCATATCCAAACCATAGCATTGATCCATTTGGTTGTTTAATTTGGCATTCATTTGTTAATTGCCAAAAATATGTTGGATGTGAAATGACTAGGTTCATGGCTCCCTTGACTGATGAAAAAAAATGATAAAAACGCTTCCTAATAACATGACTATCAACAGAAAATAATGTGTACAGTGTCTAACAGAACTTGGCATGTAACAGGCACTTAATAAACAGTAACCATCAAAACTGCTGTCGCCCTATTTATTATTATTATCATCCACTTGGCGAGCTAAGCATTGGAAAACTCCGCCTCAGATCATGACAGCACAGTGACAGCAGCTCTTGCCTCTCAGCTTTGCTAAGGAAGGGTGATTGGTTACTGAGAACACAGCTACAGACACTCTAGAGAAGGACCAGGAGGCCAGACATCAAATCTAATAATGCCTTTCTCACAGAAAAATAGAGCAGGTGGTTCGTGGCATTAGGTGTTGCTCAAATTCCTCTGTATGAACCAATATAGTGGTCACCAAGGACATAGAAGTAGTTACTTCTAAATAGGTAAAGTCAAAAAAGAAAAGAAAGCGTGTCCTAGAGGAATGTATCTGCCCGGGAAAACTGGAGGAGGCTGCGGCTACTTCTGCCCTCCCAGTGACCTCGCAGCCGGGGAAAGGAAGTTCTGCAGTTGACATCAGGAGTCTGTGTCTTTTACTACTGATAACCCAGATTCAAAAATAATCAGGTAATCCAAAGCAATTTTTGCCACTGCATATAAACTTCTTGCATAAAATATCAATTATAACAACCCTGATTACTACTGCAGTTGTACCATGATCCTCTTAATTTTCCTTTCACAGCAATCAATCGATCTGCTACTTAATTCATATTTATTTAGATTACAGCCATACAGATGCCTTTTGGGTGCCGCCAGGAAAATTAAAATGTACATACAGAGTATAATGTATGTAAAAATGCTATGACAACCGTGAAGTGCTCGGCAGAGAGTTAGATGACTATCATTATTTCCTTTTAAGTCTTACTACAAGTAGATAAATTTTAACATCATTAATCTTAAAACTATTTCCATGAAAAACTTTAGTTACTTGCTCAATATCTCTCTGTATATTCCTTTGTCATTTGTTTTTAGTGTTTTGAAACAGGAGCTCACTCTGTAGCCCAGGCTACATTGGAACTTAGCGTGATCCTCCTGCCTCAGCCTCTCCAGTACTAGGATTTCAGATGGGCTGGTTCTGTGTGTCCTTTAACCATTTTTTTTTTCAGTTCTTATCTGTGTCCATTCCAAATTGTGTCTCATTCCACATCTTCACAAATGCTATCCTTAAATTCTAGAAAATACAGATGGATTCATAGCCCATTTTTCAGCCTGCTAATCTGCTAAGACAAAAAAGTTGTTAGCAAATAATAAATTAAGAAATATGTGAAAGTTCTTTACCAATAGCTTCAAAACCTTACATGTGTGTTTATATAGACTCTGATCATGCTAAAATCCCTCCTACAAACAAATCATAAGCAATGTGAACTTTACCATTGCAAGTGTTTCAGAAAATACATAGTAAACCACTAACCTTTGCCGTTTGGTAAAACCTGTGTATGTGAGGCTTTTTGTGGTCTGGGATTGAAGACACATTTTAAAGAAAAAATCTGTAGAGATTCCTAATTTGGGGATTTGTCTAGGGCACAAGGAAGGCACACTAACATCTGGAAGCAAATAAGAGCCTACCAGGACCTATGTCCATCCATGTTCAGGCAGGACCTTGTTTCCTATGTTCAGCTAGGTCATGCCTAGCGTGGTTCTATGCACAGGATTGCTGCTCATCCATGCTGCCTGCTAAAGAGTTCCTGAAGGTTCTCTATACAGAGCAGTCCACACCCTCTTCCCTGGCAGACACGGAGTGTGCACCTCTGTCAAAGCCTCTGTCTACTGTCCCGCTCTCTTTAGGTCAAGGTCACACAGGAAGTGCAGACCAGGTGTCAGCCTGTGGCTTTACGCCTTCCCTTCGCTGCTGTGTCCCTCTCCATCCGCCTGTGCACTCGACATCTCACCAGAATTCTGTCTGTTTTCAGGAAATTTGCCCCACGCTGTTCTGTGTGCAAGGAACCTATCATGCCTGCCCCAGGCCAGGAGGAGACCGTCCGCATTGTGGCTCTGGACCGTGATTTCCACGTGCACTGCTACCGCTGTGAGGTCTGTGGCATCCCCACGTCAGAGCAGTCGTGTAGCCTGGAGACCTTGGTGCCTAGCAAAGGCCTTGGAGTGATCAGACAGGAGTCCGCTCTGACACAGGCTGTTAAGGCAGTGACATCACACATCTTATCCCACTCTGAACAATCCCTCTCTCTGTACAAATGCTTCAAATTCTTACTCCTCCAGATGTAGCTATGAGACCGAAACACAGAACTGTATGTCCCAGGACAGTGTAAACTATTAAGCTAGAGGAAAGGCAATGATGATGGTGATGATGAATCTGTAACTTATGATTTGGTTAACTGCTTCTTTGGGCAGAGGGGCCATTATCACCCAATGAGAAGGACAAGAATTCATTCATTTCAGAGGTGCAGGAACTTCTCATTCAAAGCCAGAGAGGTTTATTTATTTAGTAGTTAGCTTCCAGGTGTCACTTAAGAGGTTACAACTGCTAAGAGCTGTGGACAAGTCAGCACAGGGTCAGACTGTGAGAATATATAAGGCATACCCATAACCAGCCTGGAAGTGAGAAGAGGAACTTAGCTGACACTCTGGGGACATGTAGCCATTAATACAGCAAAGGGCAGAGAAAATGGCTTTAAAATATTTTACCTTCTTCTATGAGCTCCCCAGGCCCCTCCTTCCAAACAGTTTTCTTTGTCTACAAGCTCTTGTGGATACGGCACTTTTCAACCCCTTCTCCGGTCTGCGTGGGATGCAGACTTTCTCATCCCCTTGTCCACATAGTCTAACTAATGCCCAAGGCTGCAGGCTGGCAAGGCTCTGAGAGCCCCGGAGAATTTGTCCACTCCATCCACTGCCTTGCCTATAACTGACCATCTGTTTTTACACTGTGCTTTGTTCATCCATAAAGCTCAGGTTATGTGCCCCTCTCCAAGGTTAACATGAAGAAATACATTAACAAACCAACAGCCTTTGTGTGAGGTCTATGACCAGGGAAGAAAAGAGAACATCGGTGTTCAGCCATCATCTCTCCAGTGACCCAGTATGAGGCCACAAGAGTGTGGAGACACTTTAGAGGTCATTTTCCAGGAGATACTAGGGCGCCAAGAAGCGCCACCTCCACCAAAGTTCCCCACATACTCCATCGCACACCCACAGGCTTTGACTTGTGTTTTTGCGTCCAGTGTGCTGTACAAATTAGATTTGCTTTTAAGTGCTGAGCAGCTTTCAGAAACAAAATCATAAAATGGGGAGAGCACTGAATTGGAAGATGGCAAGCTACTGTTCTTGTCCAACCTGTTTCCCTGAAAAACACCAGGCAGACCATTCCACTCTCCCTTCTGACTTTTTCCTGTGTAGCTCCTTGGGGTGCTATGACTCTGACATCCATCTTTCCAGTCCTGTGGTCAACTTTGGACTGCTTACAGGATCCAAATGACTGTAGATGACAACTCCTTAAAGACTTTAAATTGGGCAGGGAAAATGGCTCCATCAGTAATGGACTCGTCCCACAAGTGCAGAGATCTACATTTGGATCCCAGGCACCCACGTGAAAAGCAGGCGCCGTGGCGTGTGCAGTAACACCAGCATTTGGGGAAGGAGAAAGAGGAGGGTCTGCTGGGCTGTTCACATCCTTAGAGCTTATTGATCACTCATCTGGCTGACTTAAAGTGAGTCCTAGATTCACTGGGAGACTCCATCTTAAACAGTAACAAGGAGAAAGACAGAGGAACACACACACACACACACACACACACACACACACACACACACACACATGCACACACGCACACACATACAGAATTAAAACTGTGCCATCTATGAATGATGTTTTCGGGATTTGAAATAATTTTTTGTTTAGTTCCATTACTCAGTGCCTGAAGACATCTCGAAGTACAATAATATACCACTGGTTCTTTTTGGCAAAGCCAAACTTCCCATGGATCATAGTTGTGTCTGCTGTCGTACTTTGGGTCAGCCCTCTTTATTTGTCAGCTGTAGACATGGCTTCATTTATCTCCTTGCTACTCTTAGAGAGCAGAGGGGAGCTTTGCAGGCTTCACGGCCTGTGATAGCTTCTCTTAAAGTGAGCAGGGCACACAATGCTAAACATGGCTCTGTTTATTCTCCAAGCAAACTCCCATTTCTCCTAAAGGCAAGGGCTGGCATTCAATGCTACCATTGCTTTACAGAGTGGACCTTCACCAATACCAACACTAGCGCAATCCTTTGCACATATGCAACTCTGCATATTTTTTACAGAGTGCTTTCACATCCATTACCTGCTTTGACCATCCCAAAAGCTTGGTAAGGTAGAAACTGCCTTAATTATTTTCAGAATGGCATTCAGTCTTGTGTCCAGCCTGTACAGACAGTCACAGACCTAACAGCGGCACCTGGGGAACTTGTCTCCCGTTATAATGTGTGTCCCTCTCTCCTGTGCTATCATCCCTTTTGGAAAGTATGACGTACTGTTAGTCCTCCCAGCCCTTGCAATTTTGTGTCCTTGCTGCAATTGCAGTAAATATACAACAGCCATTGGTAGCCTTCCTACATGACAGAAATCACTTTTCTCTGATTTAAATAGCCATAAACTTCCATTCTTACACCTGTCCACTCTTTTAACGAGATACTAAAATTAAGGGTAGTGTACATTAGGGACTGTACTTTATTTTCCCTTACTGTTGTTTAGGAAAGCTAATTAAGCCCTGAGAGCTGAGAGCTGTAGACTCTTTCCTACTTGTACTATGTTTTTATATTCAGTGACTAAAAGAGTCGTTTTAGACTATTCGAGTTTGTTCTGTTTGGAGACAGAGTCTCTATAGTCCTTGCTGGCCTAGAATTTGTTCTGTAGACCAGGCTGGCCTCAAACTCACAGAGGCCCACCTGCCTCTTCCTTCCCAGTGCTGGGATCCAAGGTGTGCCCCACCACTCCTGGCTACCATTTGCACTTAGGTTATTAACCTCTAATTCACTTTCATCGACCATCTGCTATGCCATGTACTAAGGGTGGGGTGCAGTGGGCACATTACAGAAGAGGCCTTGTAAAGAAGGCTCGGGAGGCTGGGTTTGTGCCGAGCTTCCCAATATCACTTCCATCCCCTCTGTCTTTGTTTCCCTAGGATTGTGGTGGTCTTCTGTCTGAAGGAGACAACCAAGGCTGCTATCCCTTGGATGGACACATCCTCTGCAAGACCTGCAACTCAGCCCGCATCAGGGTGTTGACCGCCAAGGCAAGCACCGACCTGTAGAGTCAGCCGCCGCCTAGCTGCTGCGCGGAGAAGAGTGAAACACGAGAAAAAGAGAAGAGAAGAAATAGAAAAATAGAGGCAAAGTTCTCAACCCCTGGGATGGTCTCTGTTCTTCACCTGCTGTTAACCTTTCCTTTAGAAGCACATACATGATGGCATTTGTCGAAGTTCCTACCAAATACACATTTCACATTGAATCATGTAGGGCCTTGGTGAGCCTTTGTTGCAAGGACTTCCACATTTTTGCACAGATTATGCCCCGTCCCATTCACTTCTGCATTCCTGGAACTGTTAATCCCCGTGCTTGTCTCACTTTTCATCTGGTTCAATAGATGTTTAGTGTGGTATTTGCTGTCACGTGATCTTCCCTGGGTGAATGTGCCAGCCTGCAGGTGCTGTTAGCTTGCTGTCCCGTCCGGCCACCTTTCCCTCTGGCTGTGGCTACAGAAGTTAGCCATCCTGTCGCCAGGTATGGCAAAGGTGAATTCTCCCATTGTGCTGCGCCGCTCTCGGCTCCTGGTAAACATAAAGTGGGGAGGTGGTTGTGCATTTTTTCCGCTGGGCTATAAAGGATTTATGTGAAAAAGATACATAGATTAGCAGGAGCCCAAATTTAGTTTGCAGTTATCCAAATTCGTAATCTGTAGTGCCCAGTGGTCAAGGCTCATTTGAAAATGTTTATTGGCCAATAGCTAAAAAGTGGAGAAAGAACCAGATTTCACTACTGAGCTAAAGAAGCCACGTGGGAAATGCTAGCCAAAGGATTGCTATTTGTATTTGAAAAGCCCATTATATTTCAACAGTTCTACCTTGAGATTTTCCTCACCACCCTATCTGCACATAAGGCAGACTTGCTTTTGGTACATTTCCAATTCTGTCCAATACTTCATCTTAGAAGTACCGTGAATTTTCTCCTAATACACAAGCATGGTTACTACAGTTAACATCTATCTACAGAAGGATATGTATTAAAAAGGAATCAAAATCTTACCTTTCTTTCATTTTATAGTGACCCAAATCTGTTTTTTTTTTCCTGAAAATTGCAAATTGGGACACATAAAATGAAGTTATGTAACCATGTTTCGTCTTCTTTAAAAAAGGAAGAAAAGCTGGGAAAAGATTGTGAAACCCGAGTCTTATTATTCTTATAATCCTTCTGCAACTCAAGTACATATTGCAGGAGACATATTCCTATCTTCAATGTGACATTTACACCACACTTTTAAAGACAATCACTGAAAACAAAATTGTCTTTCTGAGCTAAAAATATGCAGAATGGCTGCCGAGAATCTTTCTGCGAACTCTTATTAGCCAGTGAAACGCTTGCTTGCCAACTGGAGCCAGTGGGCTTTGTTGAGAGGAGAGACCTCGCTTAGCAGTCGCAGCTGGCCATTTTGTGAACTCACTGCTCAGTATCTTGGGATGAGATTTCCCAAACCTCTCTTTAAATCTTCTACAAATATATACTTTTAAATTATGGAGTACTTTAAATATACAGAAGGGTATAAATAATAATATAATGAATCCCTCTGTAGCTAACACCCAGTCCTAGAAATATAGTCACCTTAAATCCCACAAATACCTTTGTATCTCTCTTAGGCGGTGCTGGGAGTTGAACCCGGCCCTCACGCACTTGACAAGCGCCCTGCCGCTCCTGCGTCCCCAGCCCTTCTGTTACTTTTCTATTTTTTTTTTTAAATCTTTATGACATGATGATCTTCTAGTCTGACAGTTTTAATTTTAACATTTAGAGCAAATTTTTTTTTAATTACTTGTGCATGTTTAAAATTGCAAAGCCATGCCTCAGGAATTCCATAAAGTTTATTTTACTTGAATAGAAGTCATCATGAAAGTGATTAAAAGAAACCCCTAAGCCTTTGTCACTCAGCTCCTCTGGGTCGATCTGTGGCTTATTTACTTTGCTCGCTAAGCAGTTTGAATCCCCAGAGCTATGGATGGCAGGGGCTTCCTCTACTGCCTGCTCCTACCTTGCTTCTCTTCTCGCGAGAGTCATGGAGGGCAGCCTGTGGATTTCAGGATATGGTGGTGGCTCTATCCCTGAATTCCTGTCTTCCAAATCAAAGGCTCGGCTGTGCCAGTGACCTCAGAGAACACTGCCCGTCAGACAGTCGAGATGGCAATACAGTCTGCTTAGACTCTCTCTCAAATGTTCACCATAAAACAGTTCAGGAAATTGTCTTTACACCAAAAGTAGAGCCCAGTTTAATGAGGGCAGGAATTGTGTCTAGAAATGCAGTCATATTGCTATAAATTTAGACAACAGAGGAAGAATTTATGTAATTTTTATACTCTAGAGCAATAACATCCTACTTGTTTGTTACATTTAACTCCTTCTGCAACCAGATGTTTACATGCGAGAGTTATCGGAAAATGCTGCCTGCCACAGCTTCTTCCCTGAGGTTTTCTGGGCAGAGCTCTGCCTGCTTACAGCCTTCTCAGTGCCTTCTCATCCAGTAACCTCAGAGTGTCTTCACCAAAGATTTTTAAAGTGAATTTCTTTTTAATATAGACTTATCCTTTTATAATAACGAATGTGCACATACACATATACAGAAATATTTAGAATTAGATGTTTTTCTTTCACAAGGTCTAATACGTATAAAGGATCCTACCACTTTATTCTGCAATTTCTTTAATATATGATTTACATTGCTTTCTTGTTTCCTCCTACTACGAATTTGATTTAAATAATACCTAGTCACTCTGTTCTTTACTCTTTTAGCCACATAAAGTTTTGCCTACTCTAGAGATATAAGGATCATATTACTTTAATTATTATACACATTGTCTTTTGATATATTGCCTCACTATCATTTAAATACATAAACAGAAAAAAATATAATGTTTGTAACAGAAAACTTGTCAAATTCTATCTGAATTGTTTAAATATCAAGAGCACAAACACTTGGTTATTCTGTATCAAATGAAATACATAGATAAGGAAAAAACCCACTGTCACGAGCTCTGCAGAGAACATTTCAAAGTAAGATTCTCTTTCTATTTTGATAGTGGTGGGGATGGATCTCTGAGCCTTGCATGAAACAGACAAACACTCTGCCATAGCTAAGCCTCACATCCAGAATAAGGCTTTGTAGCTGTTGGGGTTCCCATTTCAGACTGGCTCAATATGGAGCTGGGCAAACAAAATTGCCTTTAAAACTCACAAAGACATCATCACAAGTCATAGCTCAAGGCCTCAGCATTCCTGAAATATTGCCATCTCTGCAGCTCAAAGGTGTGGGCTTTTTCCTGTCACTAGCGTGTGGCTCTCCCTGTTGGAATGACCTCTCTGATCACAATTACTACATGGGTTGTATGCTGATTAATGAAATGCACTTGAAAACACTAATTGTTTTCTATGAAAATGTCTGCAAATACATCTATGGTGGGCTTTTAAGAAGTATGGACTTGAATGATGATGAACAGCTATTTCGTATTTGGGTCCAGGGGAAGGAGAACACACTCTCTGTGAGACTGCAATAGAGTGTTGATAGACCAGAGACAGGACTCTGCCAACCATCTTCTTAGTTACTACAAATCCTATTAATGTGAACCAGTCAGGAATAAGAGTGTTATTTCTATTTGATATGGTTTGGGCTTCTCCTGTCAGCTCTGTGTTGGTTGCCCCCCTGATCCTTCCATTATCAAGTTTTGAAGGGTGTCGGGAAAATTATGGCAGCTGCTAGGGAGATCAGGGAAACACGGATGCCACCTCCCAGCCTCTCGCCATCCCTCTTGGCTTGGAAAGGCATTTTTATATATATATATACATTTCTAGAAATATTGCCATTGTACCTTAGTATTTCACATTTGTAGTTTAAACAAGTGATTGTCCATCTGTTGCCTGAAGCTACAGTACATGTGTGTTATGAATGAAATATGACAGCATGTTCCATACCCCTGCTTCAGCCATCTGTAGACAACCAGCAACCGAAAAAGATACCTCTGCAAAATGTGCCTCAAGTCCATGTCCTGGGATGGCTCTTCTGGTGCACTTTCATGAGAGACAATCAAAAACAATCCATAATTGTGCCTTATTTTTAAATAATCTTGTTTACACTACTATGACTATTGTTCAGTAATAGAAATACTAAACCCCAGATCTCAAAGATGTAACACACACACACACACACACACACACACACACACACACACACACACAAAATGGAGGGTAGGGGAGAGCTGCATCACTTCCATCTTAATATATTGTTTCTTCAGTTTTGGAAGGACCTCATGAGTGTCGACGAGAGCATGCTCATGGCCAAAGTGATCTGTTAGGTGTTGTAAATGCTTGTGATTTGATCTTCCTCTTGCTTTACTCAGATAAAGACAGAGACTTGAGCCTGTAACACCCATGTAGCACACACATTTTAAAATCGTGTTATTTGTTTGAATTAATAAGGAACAGTCTTGATTATTGATCAAGTTGTGATTATGGTGCAGCCATGAATATTTCAGGACAAGTTATGTAGTCGCTTGATCATTGGAAACTGCTGTGGTGCTGTGGGTTTGGTTGGCATAGCTTTATCTCAGACCTTTTACAATTAACCTGGCCAAAGCTACTGTGATCTAACGCAAGCGCTTAGCCCCTTGCCTTCTTCTCTCCTTTCCTCCTCCCTCTCTCTCTCCCTCCCTCCCTCCCTCTCTCTCTATTCCTTTTTTCCATTGTGCCTATTAACACTGCCCTATTAGGGTCGTCTCTTTAGTCTAGTTAGGATACCATAACATTATGATTGCATTAGAAGAGAAAGGTACCAGAACATATACTTACGATCCAGAAAACCCGTGTTTTACAGGGGCATACTCTTTAGGTTGTGTGTATTCCTAGAGGGAGATGTAGTCTTTCAGCTGTGTTTTAATGAGGCCTTGTTGGGGACTTAGCTCATAGAGTCCTTCTTGAAAACGGATCTAGTTGTCTCACCTGTGGATATGCAAAGTGAACTCTCTAAGCTAGACTGTGATTTGTTTTTAACTCAAAAGCGTTTTGACCACAAAACACTTGGATTTTTAGTGACAGAACATGATTTTGTCCCATTGAAATTAACTTGATAATTTTCCTTGTGGCAAGGGGAAACTATTAATTTTCCCAGTTTTTAACATTGCAGTGCTTAACCCATGGTCCATATGAAATGATAATAATTCACTCACAGTATTTGCAAGGGGTAGGTTAGCACTAGAACTCTTCTTAGAATGCAGATTATTTTGCAGGCATATTTTCCCTTAGTACAGAGAAGAAAGATACTAATTTACTTCTCTGTTTTAATTTTTCCTTCCTTATGCAGAAATTTTAGACAATATTTTAGTTAGCTACCATGCATATGACTAATTGTGGAAAGCTATGTAAAAGACACATTTTTATCCATCTGATTGGAAAAAAAAATGCTCGTATCTTTTCTCTTTGCTTCTGATTGGTATTTGTTTTATGGCAATGTCTAAGCAGGATGATAAGTATCTCTACTTCTAGCATTTGTTAAAAATTAGCATACTACAAATACTCAAATTCTTTTGTAATATTTAGAATGAAGGGCTAAGTTAAGTTTTCCAAGACGCTCATCCACTTAGAAGCAAGATAAAACTTCATTCATCTAACTGATAGTCATCTACTGTTTAGACAGAAGACTGTTTAAATAGGCACAAATGCACTCTATGAACTTATCTTTGAACGTAACTTCTAAATTCAGTTCTCAATCTGAGAAGCAGAATGTTCTGCCAGGAATACAGATGTCACCATGTCACCTCGTGCTCTACCCCAGTGCTGGGAGGTCTTGCTGAACACAAACAAACATACTTGAGGGCAGTGCCTGGGTAGACAGTGTTATGGTCCGTATAAAGATCTGCATTCTCTTGCTTTCGTGACTGATGACTCTAACATTTATCACTGGATGTGGCCAGTGTGGAATACTACTCAAAGCAACCCAGCCTAGCTGGAAAATTACATAGAACCAGTCTAGATTCTAGACTCTTCACCTCTGTGGCTTTGATAGCACCAAGTCCTTCAGCTTCTCATTTATTGACATTGACATTGACAGTGCCTGTTACTCTCCTGTTTCCCGTGTCAGCATGACCCCCCAATAGTTCCTAATTCCATTCCCATCTACTCTGTGGCTCCGCAAGTGCTGTCCATCAGGGTGGGTGAAAGCACTTTTCTTGGGGTTGAAAGGAAAAGGAATGCCGATCCTTCAAAGGTAACTGAGGAACTCCCTTGATGAGAATTCCCTCCTAACAGTGGATCACGTGTGCACAACAGCCCTCTTATTTCCTGTGCTGTTTGGTCTGTTTGTTTTAACTTGTTGCATCGAGGTCTGTGGTGCTGACAGAATCCAAGTCATTGAGAAGCGAGGGAGTGAGCTAAGGCGTATTCCCTCCACAAGAGTCCTGCTGCCTGGCCTCATAAAGGCTCCCGTGTCCTTTGCCTTTCTGCTTGTCTTCTCGAGGATCTTGCTGTCTATTTTCCCGTGATGGATACAAAAAAAGACTCTTGACACTTGTAAGTTCTGCATCAATATTAGTCTTTGGTGTCAAAAGTCTTCCATTTCATTCCTAATATTTGTGTCTAAAGCAAGCAGCTTCCTTCCATGATCAGTTTGTCCTCTCCTTAAGAGTTCAGGATTTATCTTGTTTTGTCTCCTTAATATCCTTATTCCTTAGCTGATCTTGTTTTAATGATCATTGTTGAATCACTCTGAGAGGTTCAAGCTGACTGCAATAAGGTCAGTCTGTACTTCTTCCTAGGGAGGAGTGTGGCATGGGAAAGACTAGTTTCTCACCATGGTCTCTGTGGGAGTTCTGGGAGGACATGTGAGGACACCCTAGGCTGACTTACTGGCTTCATTGGGAAGTTGGAGGAAGAGTCCTTAAAGGCCCAACAGGACAGCATAGGCTCCTTGCTGCAAAAATGCATTGGCCATGATGCATGGATTCTGGAGTCTTAGTAACAGCAAGAGAAGCTCTCAGATACTCAGGCTCAGTGAGAGAGGAAAGTCAGCAAAGAAAAATAAGCTGTTAATCCCTTCCCATCAACATTCCAGCTGGAGGAGGGGATGATTGGTCAGAAACAGCTTCCTGTTGTCTTTGTTGCAACAAGTGCATTCTTATTGAACCACACTACATCCTCAGCTCTTGCAGCTGTGTGCCTGTCTTTTGAACCCTCAGAAAGGAACAAGCAGGCCTTGTCTACTTTTTTGTTCTTCTAGGAACGCAGTGAGGGCTCCCAGTCCTCTGTCACACTTGGTGTGTCCAGTTCTCTTACCGACTCCATGCTGCACAGTGAAGTTTTCTCAAATGGTGCCGGTCAAGGAACTCAGCACCCTGTGAGGAAGTCTCTTTGTTTCAGCTGTCCTTGTCATTAATTAAAACAGGGCCAGTCTTTGGGCTTATGTTTTCCTGGGTTCATAAAACAAACCTATGAAACAAAATAAAATACCAGCTTCCCCCCTGTTTTTACCTCCATTGTATTTGTTTGGTTTTGGGGGGATGTGTGACTTTTAAAAACAACTTCTGTTTTTAGCCAAGGAGTAGAAAAGCTTTAAACATCCATAAAAACAGTCAAAATGATTTCTGACAATCACATGTTAGACTTTGTGTGAATTCTCTTGGTTGTATTTTCTATTCAGGAAACAAACCGTCCTGACAATGGTCAGATAACTTCGTGCCCTTCCTTAGTAACTGTCCCGTGAACATTTTGCTCCATTGATCTGACCCACTGATGATGACCTTTAAAATGTTGGGAAACATCACTGTGTAAACTCCAGCTTTCACAAGGAAAAAGTCAGAAAGTATGGTGGGACTGCTAAAAACTCATCACTTCTGATCAGTTCTTCAGCACAAAAACATACCATCCTTAAGGAAGGAATGTGTGATGCTGCATTTCATGTATAAACGTATAAATTCTCTCACAGTTGCCCCGGGTTACAGTTCTGCTAGCAATCATTAGTCTTTGGAAGGAGAAGATTGTGTCTCTTCTACCCCGGCTTTGAATTTGAGACCCCTACAGCAAGAGCCTGTTCTCCGCCCCTGGGTAGGTAGCACCTATGGGTGGATTTCAGAGCTGTAAAATAATAAAATTCCTGAGAGAGCTTACAAACTGCTTTCACACATAGAACAGCCCTGGGAAGATGGTTATTAATAGCCCTGTCCTAGAAGAGAAAGCTGAGGTTCAGAATCATTAAGTGACTTGCCAAAAGCAATGTAGCCAGTAAGTGTGAGATCTGGGCATGTACCCAACCCTGTCACACACTTCTTACAGGGTACTGAAGGCTCTGTTTAAAAAAAAAACACGGAAATTCACAGGGGCCATGTGGTTATCAGTGGCAGGTGTGCATGTGTATCATAGTGTTGCAGATCATTCAGAGCTTGCACATATCTGTGTCATCTTGTGGGAAGCCACGGGTCTTTGTGACCAGCACTGTGATGAAGCCTGTGGAGCAAAGGCCACTGAGAGCCAACAGTTGAGCAGAGGCACATGGCAGCAAGTCTCCCCAGAGAGTGTTGGTTTACATCAATGGCAAACCTCTCTGGACCTGTCAGGTTCAGGATATCAATGGAGACTGTATCCTTTAGAATACAGTAGTGTGCCGAGGTGACCTGAGTTTTAGGAAAGCCCTCCCTCCCATGGGCCATTATGTACATCCCACAGAGGCAGAAACTGCTATAGGTTAAAACAAAACAAACAAACAAACAAAAACATTTTAGTGTCTCTATCTGTTCACATTTATGTAGAGCCTGCCAAGAGCCTTATGCTGACACAAAGGATTTCTGATCCAATAAGCCCATGACCAAAAGGCCTAAACAAGCGCTATTGAATGACTGACCTTTCTGAAATTTAGCCTTCATCATTTGATAGGTGGTACCTCTCAGGCTGTTGCACTTTTGTGATTAATATACCCTCATCACAAGGAGGTTAGCATTATGTTCTTAACAAAGACAACAAAAAATCCTACTTGGAGGACCCCGGGTACATTCTATAAGCCAGCCCACATCACAACTCAACAATTGGGCACCCCTCTTGTGGCTGACTCCCTGAGAAGCTGTGCATCCAGGGGCTGTCAGGCCTTTCTTTCTCTTTTCTACCTTCTGGCTATTTGCTACCAGTTGCAAATCCATTGATTAATTAAAATATCTTTTATCCACATTACATCTGCACTAAATCTAGAAAACCTTTCAGATACCCTAATTTGTAAGTTAGGCGTTTTCCTCCCTAAAGTCTCTGCTCCATCAGGCCACTCATCTGCCTGTTCCCTGAGATTAGGAAAAGGCAAGTAAAATGACGAATGGCCTCCGAGCCTTTTCCAAGTCTTCCCACAAGGGAAATAGAGGACACCGAGAGGACCAGAAGGTTGGCCATCATTGCCCAAGCACTCACAGCCACAGGCCGGAAAGGTGTCTTATCTTTCTGAGAGGTTTGATGGATCTTATGGCTGGTAGAATGGGAAGCATTTCCTCTGGCACAGATGGGGTAGTCCACCCAAGCTATAGATCAATGAAACCTGTTGAGTTCTTCTCAGAATTACCAGATCTCTCCTCAGTTACTTGAGGAGAGACTTGCTTCTGTAGTGCTGTCCCATCTCATTAGACAAAAGGACAATAAAGAGGTGAATGTGTAAGGGTACTCCTTCATGGAAATAGTTTTCAGTTATCTTCATGAATCAATCACACATCCTGGCTTGCCTTCATATAATATAAAGAAAGGACAAAAGGGGGAATGAAAATTTCCCTTCTTCCACCCTATATAATATAGTTCCAAAGATTAGAGAAAGCACAATAGTGTTTTCTTTGAAACACACACACACACACACACACACACACACACACACACACACACACACACACACACACCTTCACCAAAAAAGCTGATTCTCCAAAAAAAGAAATCTTATTTTAAAACATTTCAACTCTTCAGGCCAGGAAATTAATAATTCCTAGACCTGACCCATTTTCATAGCTTCCAAAAAGGAAAAGAGAAAGCTACTTAAATTTTATGTGAATCTATTTATCTCTTAAATATGTCAAGGCAATTTGATTCAGGAGTAGAAAGTGAAGTGTTTATCTCTCTTGCTTGAGTCTCTGTTTCTGTCAGAAAAGGGGTAAAGAATAAGCATTCTTGGGGCATTGTGCTGTTGTTTTCTATAGCATCTGCTTTGCTTCATATTGAGGTGTAAGAATTAATAATTGGTTTCACAAATCCACATTCTCCATCGTGAATAAATATGAAGTCTGAATATCTTTACTTGCCAAACTATTTAGTTTCATTTCTCAATCAGAAATTACAAAATAGGCAGAGCTAGCTTTCATATCTACATCATCTCTCAAACCCCTTTTACTTTATTTCTTAGGGGAGACTTGTGTGAAAGAAAAACAACCTGCTTCCTCTTCATCCCTCTTTGCCTTTGGATAGCTCACTTAGTAATTAGAGGAATAGAAGTTGGCCAGGTTATGAGGTATCTGCCTCTAATGTGTTTCGGACCTTCAAACACAGAATGGGAGCAAAGGGATTTTCATAATTTAAATACCAACAATGAGAATGGTCTTACTTTGCCTAGCAAATAGTAAGGTGGGAACTGATATTTAGGTGATATGTGCATTATAGTAATCTTTTGTGTTCTTCTTGGTTTCTAGAAGAGTGTCAGTTACATCAGTGTGTGGGATTACATCGCCAGAAGTCATACTGCCATAGACCTCATTCACTTGGTAGCAAACTCAATTAGCCTATTACCCTCCTTCTACCTCAAGTGGAAAGTCTGAACTGAGATGTGTCTTAGATGAGATGTAGACTCCGGAAACTGATCCGATCGTAAATGTTTTGCAGTAAAGTAGTAGCAAAATAACTTTTCAGTGACTAGCCTTTACTACCCATTTGTCACTTGGGACACCTGATAAGCACATCATCCAAGACCTCTTTCCTCATTCATGAAAGGTAGAATAGTTCCCCTTCGAGGATCTGAATTGTGTTCTTCACTTTTTCCAGAAACATGTCAAGAAGAAGATAGAATTAAATATGACACGTGGCTGTCTGGTTCTTGAGCGTGAATAAGACTGCTATGTGGAACTGTGTGCCTTATGCAAAACCTTACACTTAGCAGCCAAACTTGTACAGCTGCAGGGAGCTCTGAGCTCTGTGTGTGCTCTGTGTAGTGAGTTAACCTGGGTTTTGTTTTGTCTTGTCTGAGTCTACACCTTTATCATTAACAAATTTGGGGCTTTTCTTTCTCTACTGCTGAGTATGGGAATGTGTGCAGTTATGAGATGAACTTTCTAAGTAGTAAGCCTATGCCACCAAGTGAATGTGACCCAAAGACGCAGGGCCCAGGGAGAGTCATTTTGCCTGAACGGCACACCCAGACTGTCATTTCACGGCTTTGTCACAGGCTTTTCTCCTTCTGTGCCATCACCTTTGAGAAAAATGATTGCACCTTCTCCAAGTCTGCCTTTTTAACAGCTACAGTTGAGTTGGCAAGACTTTCCCAGCTCCGAATATAGCCATTTGCCGACTCCGGCCTCTGTGAGACTGATTCAAATCTGTGATCTTCTGTTCAGCATACACATCAGCAAAGTGAGAAGATGGATGCTAAATATAGGCTCTATTAACTTTACTTTTAGATGTACTGCCTTCAAAAAGTGCCTATTCTGAGAAACATAAACGTTATTCCTACATATGTATGTACACACGGTACCCAGAGTCGTACTGTTCAGCCTTCAAAAACACCATCAGAAGGAGTAGGTGCTGAGATACGGAAGCATCGCCAAATGTAAGGAAGTGGCTCATTTCCAATCTCCCCTACCGTGGCTACCGTGAAATGGGCTGAAACAGAGTCCCCGGCACTTCCTGCTGATACAGCCACTTTGCCTTTATATGCCAGGAACAGTGGCAAACTGCTGAGGAACCTGTACTCTATGGCAATAAGATGCTCACGAACATTTAGTCAGGGGGGAAAAAAAAAGGCAATTAATATGTGTCATGTGTGTGTTTGTAAACTAAGCATTGCTAAATTTAGCATGTCAGCAGGTTTCTTTTATCTCTTGGGCTAACTTAGAGAAAACTAAAGAAAAGACTTGGCTATAGGGGATGTAGGCTCGGGGGCCAGGTGCCCCTGCCAGATCCCTGAATCATTTTTACTCCAGCTCCTAAGAATACTAGTGCGTGCTATTTGAGGGGTTTTGTTCCTGGAGCTCAGTCAACGACACAGGGACTCTGGATGTTTGTGATGAGGCGACAGCACAGCCTGGAAGGGTGACTTGTTACCCAAGGGTGGCAGGAGGAGATGAGCCAGGTAAATATGCTGAGGTAGATAGCCATACTGGATGATTATGGAAGAGTTGAAGGGAGGACATGGTTCCAGAAAAGATTATTCTCAATGTGTCGTCTGACTCAACCAGCTGGCAGATTACACTTGCCAAGTCGTTTCCTTCCCTTCTAAGTCACTTGGCTCCACATACTCTTCAGTATGCCTCTGAGGAAAGTAAGATGTGTCCACTTAGCCTTTCTGAAGGGACACACCGTGATGTCCTCTTGGTCACAAAGCTACCATGAAATGCCACTTCCCCCACCCAGTTTTACCCAATGAAAGGAAAGGCGGCAAGCTGTAGAAGACACATTTGATGGCATCGTAGTCATCCACCACTCTGCTTCCCATATAGGAGCCCAGCAACCCAAAGCAGAGCTGAGGGACCAATGGCACTGAGGAGTAGCTCCAGGAGTATGGCCACACTTCTTTAGTAGCATCATGATTGGAGCCAGGTTGATTTTTTTAAAGAGAGTTGGGCAGTACTTCTCCCCCAAAACATTTCTCCTGTTGGTGATCCTTTTTATCTCTATCTAATTTCAACACTAATCGTTTTCTATTATTGACATGATCCGATTTCCATGCTAGAAAATTCCAAAATCTCTGTGTGAATAGCTTGATATGAAAACTAAGTCATATTTACTGGGACAGGTCAAGGGCAGGGGAGGAGAGCTGTCAGGCTTCCTCTGTGCTAAGTGTGCCTGCCGGGAGCAGGCACTTCCTCCGAGCTAATCACAACCGCAGCCCCACCAGCAGCTGTGAGTCTCAGTAACAGTTCCAACAGGGAAAGCTACACAAAAGCGTGGAGAACAGGGCTTTTTTTCATGTGTGTGATACTAATAGAGCCATGGTATTTCCACAGTGTAAGCAAAGTGCATGCATTCACTGCCTCGTAAACCACCCCTGACATCCCCACAGCAGCACACATGGTTCCTTATGAAAATCAGAATAAGTTGTGTTATAAGACCGTGATTTGGGTAATTTCTTCTGTACTTACACATTATTCAATTATATTAAAATGTTTTTATTTACATTCTATCAGGTTTGATTATGTTTTCCCAGTGCTCTTATGAGAATAAATATGAAAATCACATTCTTTTTTCTGTAAAGCAACTACTTTATATTTAGATATCCAATAAACTTCTCATTCCACTTTCTTGCCTATGTGTGGAGTTCTTTTGGAGTCAGATGATCTGTTTCCTTTTCTCTTAAGCCCAGTTACTGTGATTCATTTTTTTTTCACCAGTTGCTTTCCATATGGTCCTCTGAGAATGGGAATGCCTCTCAGAGCAAGTATGCCACAAGAGCATGCAGTCCCCACTCCATCAACACAGATGAGCTCAACTTCTCACATGCTCTCAAGTCACTTCAGCACCCTCTGTCTGGACTCTGCAAAAAGTGTCGAGGGGGGTGGTCTTTTAATGCTAGATGCAATTTTGAGGTGGAATTGGTGGGGTTTCTACCTTCACTCAACGACTCACATTTTTCTCCACTTGTATTATGACTTTCTCAAACCTTTACAATCCACTCTTTGCTTGGTACCTCGAGGGATGCAGGTATAATCCATAACGGGGCCGAGTGGATAAGCATGTACAAATCACTACGAGAAAGGGGTGAAAGAATCAGATACAAGATTGAGTGGCCGCATTTTCAAACTTTGCACCTCATCATTTTTGATGGTTCTGTGATTATTTTGTCCTCGTTTATATTCTAAGAAGAGTAGAAAATAACCCAAGACCATCACTTAAGAAGTTCATTTTTTCATGTAGCAGATGGGCAGGAAAACCAAAGTGCCTAGTCCACTAAGCCTCAGGTTAAGTTAAGTAGAGCCCAGCTGACTCCCCTGTCACAAAGCCAGAGAGCACCCCTCGCTTCTCTTTGGCACTCAGGCCTCAGCTGCCCTCTCCTCAGCATCCGGTTTGCATTTACTGATAGTAGAACATCTGAGAACTGTGGGTGGGTGGGTGGGGCTCTCACAGAGACCGCTGTTTACAAAGCTGCCCTATACAAGGCACGTCTTTGGACAAATGGCAATTAAATCACTAATATTCAGGGAAATTCGGGATGTTACAATCAAAAAGGGCATGTAGGATGTAATTTTACTTTCCTGTCTCTCCATTTTCTCAGTCAGCTGATACTCTTTGACAACTCTGTTCTGTTCTCTGTTGTCTAATGTTGTGTGTCACCCATTTCGTTCTACTTGTAGAATATGAGAGCTAGAAGGGCCCGTGGAGATCATTTACCATGGCCTGCCAAAGGAACACCTGCCCAGAGATAGGAAGGCATTTCCCCAAGGTCCAGAGTCCTGATAAGGCAGAGCTCGAGGCCTGCCTTAGTCCAGGGCTGTCATAAAGATTCTTTATTAATATGAGAAATAATGACACTGAGGATTGAACAAAACCCAGAGGGTGTAATGTCCCTAGACCCCCAACTAAAGAATCTAAAAGTTGTATTTCAGGATGAAAGAAAAACCAGTGAAGAATAGCAGTATGAAACAAGGAATGCTTAGCCGAGAAAAGAGCAGCCACCTAGTTAAATTTGAACAAACTGTCCCATTGACCAATCTTTTTACTTGAAGGGATAAACCAACAAACCTGAAGAACTGGACAACGTTAGAATGTCGGCTCAGGGAACAAGAATTCAAACTTTGTGAGATTTTTGTAGGTTTAGGAAAATGGTGCACTTGGTTAACCAGATTTTAAAATTAAATTTATACGAAATGTTTCAGTAGCTACCATGTAAAGAAAGACAATGTATACTCACGAAAATCAATAGGAAAAGTGGAATGGGAGAAAGGCAGGGCTAAAGAAAAAAAATGGTAACATAGACTGCCCTCAATGTAGCCAAAGACGACCTTGAACTCCTGATTCCCCTGCCTCTGTCTCTTAAATACTATAATTACATGCATGTACCACCACACCCAGTTTATGCGATGTGGGATACCAAACCTAGGCCCTTGTGCGTGCTCTACCAACTGAACTCCATCCTCAGCCTCAAAGCAGAATTTCTAAAGAGGCAGGGGAGGCAGATGAAAGAAATACAAAGCATGTGAAAGCCTGAGTTCAGAGGAATGCACACACAAAAATAATAAATATGTTTAAAAAGCGTGGAATTCATGAGTACTCATAACTATAGTACATAGAGTAGAAATCCCACTTTATGTTAAAATATAAGCCGGATACAGATTAAGGTACCTGATCAGTAAATATTTCCAGAAACTAAATTAGAGTAGATCCATTATTATCACAAAAAAAAGAAAGAAAAAGAAAGAAAAAAAGAAAGAAAGAAAAAGAAAGAGAAAGCTAAGGAATCTTTTAAGACAAAAGAAAATGTTTCGTATGGAGGCATTACTTATTGGTAAGGAAGTTTACTTTCATAAAAGAATACATATTCTGTTATATTTTATTGGTTTTGTTGTAAAAGACAATTGCCACTGTGCACAAATGGAGGTCAGGGCAACTTTTCTAAATCCATTCCTTACTTCCATCATGTGGGTTCCAGGGTTCCAGCACCTTTACCTGCTGAGTCACCTCTCTTGCTCAAGAACACATATTCTGAGTTGAATGAGTCTAATAATATCAGTTCAGCAATTTTTATAAAATTACAATGAAAACCCATCAAATCCCCCCCCCCCCCCGCATGCCCACTGCAGAATTCTAACAGAATTTCCTCAACAACTATAAAATTTAAAGCACTAAAGACAGAGGGTGTTGTTCAAATCTTAAACGGTCTTATTAACAGAAAACCCTGAGCCAGATATCAGGGTGAAAGCTGAAAGATCAGAGAAGCAGAACAGCCAGCTACTAGTTCTTACCTCTACAAAATCCTCACCCTAAAAAGAGTTAGTTCCTCTTTCCTTATGCCATATATACCTTTCTCTGCCCTGCCATAGTACTTCCTGGGTTTAAAGGTGTGTGTCTTTCCCAAGCAAAGGTATGAAATCTCAAGTGCTGGGATTAAAGGTGTGTGCCACCACTGTCTGGTTCTGTTTCTCTCCTATACTGGATCAATCTCATGTAGCCCAGTGTGGCCTTGAACTCACAGAGATCCAGACAGATCTCTGCCTCCTGAGTGATAGGATTAAAGGTGTGTGCCACCACTGCCTGATCTCTACATCTAATCTAGAGGCTGGCTCTGTCCTCTGATCCTCAGGCAAGTTTATTAGGGTACACAATATATCACCACAGAGGATTTCAACATTATTTTAAAATTTGACTTAATGGATATATAAAAAGCTCCACACACAAGTTAAGAATAAGCCCTCCATTTTGAAGAACACATGACCTCTAATTACCTTCTAGGTCAGTTGTCAGTAAAGTTCAAAAATCATCATGCGAGTCAAATATTATGATCGCATTGAAGGTTTAGTTAAGTTGTAAATTTTTAACATTCTTGGAATAGCAGTGAACCCTGGGCCCTGACCCATCTCATGACCCAGCTGTACCCCCCAAACAGCCTAATCCCAACCCCAGTAAGAGTTCCAGACATGCACACCCCAGCCATTTCACAAGATTTCTATGACTTTTTCTCCAGGCCCAATGAGAGACCCTAGCCCCACCCTGGACACATCCACCTAGTCTCCATTTCCTCAACACTTACTCTAGCAAGCAGCTCCCTGCACATCACTGAACCCACCCCCAGCCCCTGGGAAGCTAAAGACTAAAGTCTTTTTCCACAGATAAGTAAACTCCTACCCTGCATGGAGACCATTACAAAAAGCCATAACTGGTCATAATGCAGAGAGCAATTGATCATGGAGAGCCCAGCCCCAAAACATCTACAACACAACTCTTGCACCTAAGGAAATAGTATGGAAGAGGAGGCAGAAGAAATGAAGTGTGACCCTAATTAGTCTTAACAGTAAAAACCCGAATCAGATATGGAGGGGGAAAGCTGAAGTTAAGCAGCCAGTCACCAGAGACTTCTTACCTCTACGAACTCTCAGACCGAATATGGGGGGCAGATCCTGTCTCCACCCACCTTATATTCCTGTCTCCATCTCCCTAGTGCTGGGATTAAAGGCATGAGCCTCCCAAGTGCTGAGATCAAAAGTGTGAGCCACCACCACCTGCCCTCTATGGATAACTAGTGGCTAGCTCTGCCCTCTGATCTCCAGGCAAGCTTTATTTATTTATTTGTCAGAACACAAAATATTACACAACAAAAGATTGTAAGAAAGATAGGACTGTGTGTGTGTGTGTGTGTGTAACAATAATCAAAAAGAGGACATCAATTTGAGAGGAAGGGAGGGAGGGACATGAGAGGGGTTAGAGAAGAGAAAGGGGAAGTGGAGAAACGATTTAGTTGTATTTTAATTACAATTTTAAAAAGATAATCAATATCCTAAATCCAGGTGTGTGGGTTCCATCACAAAAACACAGTTAAGTCAATACTCTCTTTCCCATCACCAGTCCCATTATAATGTTCTCCCCAAGGAGAACAACTTAGGAGAAATTTAAGACACAAAATTCAAAACAATTATGAACATGTTTAAGGAGTTCAAAGCCTGCAAAAAGAACACAAACACCCAAATTAACTTAAAAAGGACAGTAATAAAATTATTGAAATCCAAGAAAACACCAACAGGTATATGAAATAAATAGGACAATATCCAGGATATGACTACTAAATCCAATCAATAAATTGAAGCACTAAAGAGAACCCAAATCTGAAATGGAACAGAAGATTAAAAGTTTAGTAGATCTAATAAAAAGCTCAGTGAAAGCATCACCAAAAAAGTGGGACACACAGAAGAGAAAATGTTGGGGCTTAGAAACAAAGTATAGAGACTAGATCACACAACCAAAAAATATGATGTGTTAAAAAAAATTCTATGAACAGAATATGCAGGAATTTTGAGGCACCATGAAAAGACCAGTTTTAAACTATGGGCATAGAGAAGAATTCCAGGGCAAAGAAATAGTTATTATTTCTTAAATCATAAAAGAAAATTTCCCAAATAGAGATATCCATCCAGGTAAATAGGGCCCACAAAACACCAAACAGACAAGACCAGAAAACTGATTCCCCAGTATGTATTATAACCAAACACTAAAAACAAACAAATAGCACTGAAGGTTACAAGGAAGAAGGACCAAGTCTTACAGAAGGCCGAGCCATCAGGAAAACAGCTAATAATTTGATAGAAGGTTTTA